ACTGTAATAGACTTGCTCCAAACCAGGTTGCCACAAACCTTCATTTGTAGTAAACACAGTATCTGCAAAGCGGAATTATGCAAAGCACAATAAAATGAGGTATGCCTGTATATGCTCTCACAAACCTCTGTATTTTATCTTGGGAACATGTACCACAACTGTGATCAAATGCTTATTTAGTCTTTTAATATTTATCCCCCATCATCACCCCTAAGTAACTGGGCCTCCTTCCCTGCTTTATCCCTACCACGCCTAGCACAGACTCAGCTCTCCATAAATACGTGTTTAGTGGCAATAAATATAGCAGCCATGTTCACTTGCCATTTTAGAAAAAAATAGTGCAGATACATAGTTGGAAACCTAATTTCTGATACAAAATTAGGAAAAAAAGAGGTGTCCATCTTTGGCCAAGTTTTTTAACAGTTTTATGGAGGTATAATTGTTGTTTAGATCTTTAAATGACTATCACTCCACTAAAATCCACCCTGTGGTTAGTTCTCGGCTGGACCATTCAAGAGGTCGGTCCTCACCAGCCTTTACTATCACACAACCAGGTCGGACTTCCGTGAGATACCGGAAATAAAGACCAAAGAGGGGCTGACCTGATTCCCAACTGGGAACCACACCACCTACCTTCCCCTCCCCTCTGTTTCCTGCTCTGCCCTTCGCAGGGAGCGCAGTGGGGTGTGGCCCTCGGAGCGGAGGGGCGGGACTTCCGGTCTTTCTTGTTCCGGAGAGGTAAAGTGGCTTCCAGAGGGCGGGGGTAAGTTTGAATCGCTACTGAGCGGCTTTTGTTTTCTCTTCGTGGTTACCGTTGGTGGTGTCTTTGTTCTCCTGCTACTTTACCTTGGCAGGCGAGTCGGCCAAAACACACTTCCTGTGACCCTGTTCTTCTGAGGTTGTGATTGTTTTCTTTTCTCAAGAAACTACACTTGTTGGTAATTTGTCAAATTCAAGATACATCCCTGGAGAAGCAGTCGTGGACAAGCACAGACGCAGCATTTTGGCCAGTTAAAGCCGGGGGCCGTTAGTGGCCTTCTTACCACAACTTTTCAGCTCTGAACTGCTCTGTGAGTGTTTGGTTGTTTTGATGAGACTTTTTCTGTACCTAGATACTATCACATTTTGAAAAATGAGGTTCTCATTGATGTCAAGAACAGATTTGTGGCCTTTTTTTGATCGTTAAACGTAGTCTTATAATGTGCTGGGTGGTGAGAACACAAACAGGGGTAAGACATTAGCGATGAGGCTGAAAATGTGATTTGGAGCCGGATTGTGGTTGCCTGTGATATGCCAGGAACTTTAAAAATTACACTGTTTCTTTTGTATGCGTGATTATTTAAATAATGTTTAATAAATTATAGCTCAATAAAGCATATGTCTTTCAACTATGTATCGTCACCTGTTTTTTTCCTGAAATACCAAGTAGACATAATCTGATATACATATTGCTGTAATATAAAGTGCCATCTAACAAGTATAAAAACAAGTGATGTAAAGCATTTGATATGATCTGACTTGTAGAAAGTTACCTGTAACAGCAATACTAGAGATGGAGAGAGAAGAAACTGGAAAAAGGTCCCAAAAGTTGTAGGAGTTGAGGGGAGAGTTGATGGCCTGAAATAGAAAAGGAGGAAAAGAGAGACAGGTTCAAGAGAGAGACTTAGGAAATCAAGAGAATTTGTTACAGGTTTATGTATGAAATCAGAGTGGTAAGTCAAATATTGCTAATATTGGCTAACACTGAGATGCCATTAACTCAAATTGCAAATTCAAGAAGAGCAAGAATTTTAAAATTCGGTTATTTATTCTTTCATCGGTCAATGAATATTTATTGCACCGTTATTATTTGCCCAATACTATTTTAGATGTCAGAGATATAATTGTGAGTAAGACATAAGGTCCCTGCTTTGGTTAAGTTTATATCCTAGTGGGAGAAGACAAAAAGCAAGTAAACAAACAATTGGTTTTGATAATGTTAGATTCTATGAAGGAAAAAGGTGAAATGTGATATAAAAAGATTGGGGAGATGTTTGGGAACAACTTAGTTGGTCAAGTTAGGCCTTTGGGAGAGTGACATTGGCGCTGACACCTTAATGACAAAGAACCATCCTTGTGAAGAGCCAAGGAAAGGACAAGCTAGGCCGAAAGAACAGTACAAAGTTTGGGATGGAAAAGAGCTTGTTTGAAGAACATTAAAAAGGTCATGTGTCTAAAGTGTCCTGAACCCTTGTTAGAGATGACATTGACATTTGGAGAGGTATATGGGACCTCTCCAAAGGTGTGGTCTTTGTAAAACATGAATTAGGCATTGGATTTTATTCTAAGTAGAAATGGAAGATTATAATGGGTGTTTTTTTTTTTTTTTGAGACAGAGTCTCATTGTGTTGCCTGGGCTAGAGTGCCATGGCGTCAGCCTAGCTCACAGCAACCTCAAACTCCTGGGCTCAAGCGATCCTTCTGCCTCAGCCTCCCAAGTAGCTAGGACTAAAGGCATGTGCCACCATACCCGGCTAATTTTTCCTATTTTTAGTTGTTTGGCTAATTTCTTTCTATTTATAGTAGAGACGGGGTCTTGCTCTTGCTCAGGCTGGTCTCGAACTCCTGAGCTCAAGCAATCCTTCCGCCTTGGCCTCCCAGAGTGCTGGGATTACAGGCGTGAGCCACCACGCCCAGCCTATAGCAGGTTTTAAGTTAGGAAATTATAGATCTGTTTTCTTTTTTTTGTCTTTTGGAGACAAAGTCTTGCTCTGTCACCTAGGCTGAAGTGCAGTGGCATGATCATAGCTCACTACAGCCTGGAACTCCTGGGCTCAAGTGATCCTCCTGCCTCAGCCTCCTGCGTAGCTGGGACTACAGGCACATGCCACCACTCCCAGCTAATTTTTTATTTTTATTTTTGTAGAGACGGAGTCTTGCCATACTGATCAGGCTAGTCTTGAATTCCTGGTCTCAAGCGACCCTCCCTCCTTGGCCTCCCAAAGTGCTAGGATTACAGGTGTAAGACCCTGAACACAGCCCTGATTTTTATTTTAAAAGATTCCTCTGGCTACTGTATGTGGACTGGACTTGAGGAAAGAGATGAGCACAAAAGTGAAAATAGGGGATATTACAGAAGTCTGCTTTTGGTGGGAATGATTAAGTTCTATTTTAGTGACGTTGAATTTGATTTATCTGTGGGACAGGGACATGGGGAGAGGTCTAGCAGACAGCTATCTGAAAGCACTGGAGAGATGTTAGGTAAATTTAGAAGTTCTCCAGAGAAAGAAAATATTAATGTGTGTGACTTGCCTCAGAAGAGACCATATGATTAAATACCTATCCTGACATGTTCCACAGAAGATTATAGTCTATATCATATGCATCTGATTACATACATTGAAAGGGGGTAAGATTAAAAAACAAAACAAGATGGGGCATAAAAGTGACGTAAGTGTTTATGGTAAGAAGAGATGAAATGGGGACTAAGGTCAGATCTTGAAGAATCCTTGATTTAAGGGAATGGTGAAAAAGAAGAATGATTAAACTAAAAAGAGTAGAAGTAGAGAGGGAAACCATGGCAGTCTAATGTGGGGCGGGGGGGAAAGGTAGGGGAATTGAGAGTTTGGTGCAGAGAAAGGTAGACAACGCTGTCACGAGTTGACCAGGTTTAGCAGGATGGAGACTGAAGTCATTGAGTGTAAGAAGACATTGGTGACCATTGTGAAACAATGTCAGTGGGGAGGTAGAGGAGAAAGCTGGATTGCAATGGACTGAAGACTGACAGGAGAGAAAGTGGACAATGAGTAGATACTAGAGAGGTTTATTTGTAGAAAATAGGAATAAAGTAGGGAAAGCGTTATTTATGGAAAGTTATTTTTTTCCGATGAGTGAAACTTGATCACCTGAGTAGAAGGAGATAATGCAGAAGGGGATGTGGTTAGTGTTAGAAAAGAAGAAAAATATGTGGTAAGATTGGTTCAGTTCCTACAAGATGGCATCTACAATGCTGGGCACTGTCATATTTGTTTTGTAATTTAATCCACACAGTATTCCTGTTACTACCCACGTGTTACAAATGAGGAAACAACCAACCTGAGGCATACAGCTTGTAAGTGGCAGAATGTGAACGAAATCCGGTTCTCTAATTCTCTGTCAACCCTATATGGAGAGCATAGGTGAAGACACAGAGTCATTGCAGGAGAGAAGAAGAAATTGAATGCAGTGAAATGAGAATAAATCTAAGATACTAGGAGATTAACTTGCTCAGTAGTGACATGGAGCTACAATACTTCCTTAATGCCAGCTAGGGACAAGATTCCAAGTAGTAGGATTTCTTTTTCAGTGTTCTTTTCCCTGAGTCCTAATAGTTACTTTTGGCCTGCCTTTTGCATGTATTGTAGATTATTTGCTGCATTCCTATTGCGAAGGTGAAATTTGCTTGTTACTTGAAATGAGATACTGAGTATATAAGTTAAGAAATTAAACTTAAGGAAAAGTGAAGCTACTGAAATTATAAAGACAGTTATAACTTTGTGGGCTATCTTCTCCCTCTAGGTTATGTTCCTATATTGGAGTAAAGTCCTGGCAGTTAATTAAGGCATTTTGTTAAGGCTGTTAATTTCAGATCATTTAAGTGTTTATAGTAATATTATTTATAGAGTAAGAAAATATTACTTTTCCTCCGACAAAAGTAGTTACGGTCAATTTGCCACAAGTTAACTGAAGATGGCCTCATCACAACATCCAAGTATACCTGATTGGGGGTTAACTGAATGAAATAGAGATTAGCAACCTTA